CCCACCCCCGGCCCGCCAGCCCCCAGCGAGCAGCTCCAGGTTCTGGGCAGCCCTGGCCCCGGTCAGGGTTGGCCCCGGGCCTGCCACGCGAGTCCGGAAAAGGCCGCACTCTGGGGTCCCGTGTGTCCGTGAGGGGTGGGGGCTGGGGCGGCACCGAGGAAGGCCTGTGGCACCGGCGTCACTGGGCGCCTGCCCCTCCCCCAGGTGTCCTGCCTGGAGACCGTGTGGGTGTCACGAGCCAACGTGATCCAGCGCCGGGGCCGGGCGGGCCGCTGCCAGTCGGGCTTCGCCTACCACCTGTTCCCGCGGAGCCGCCTGGAGAAGATGGTCCCGTTCCAGGTGCCGGAGATCCTGCGCACGCCCCTCGAGAACCTGGTGCTGCAGGCCAAGATCCACATGCCCGAGAAGACGGTGCGCCGGGGCGCGGCGCGGCGGGCTGGCCTCGGGAGGGGCGGGCGGGGCACGGGCTCACGGGTGGGGGCCTGCCGTGTCCCCGCTGCAGGCGGTGGAGTTCCTCTCCAAGGCCGTGGACAGCCCCAACATCAAGGCGGTGGACGAGGCTGTGATCTTGCTCCAGGAGATCGGTGAGTGGGCGGGGTGGGGCTGGGCCGCAGAGCGGGGCCGACGAGGGTGGGCCTGACAGCTGAGCTGTTGCAGGGGTGCTGGACCAGCGGGAGTACCTGACCACTCTGGGACAGCGCCTGGCCCACATCTCCACTGACCCCCGGCTGGCCAAGGCCATAGTGCTGGCCGCCATCTTCCGCTGCCTGCACCCGCTGCTAGTGGTCGTGTCCTGCCTCACCCGGGACCCCTTCAGCAGCAGCCTGCAGAACCGAGCGGAGGTGGACAAGGTCAGGCCAGCCCCGCCCCCAGCCCCCCCGCCTTCCCTCGCAGCCCTCCACCACCTCCTGTCCTGAGGTGGCCTCTGCCTGTGACACTCCTGTCCCTCCCAGGTGAAGGCCCTCCTGAGCCAGGACAGCGGCAGCGACCACCTGGCCTTCGTGCGGGCCGTGGCCGGCTGGGAGGAGGTGCTGCGCTGGCAGGACCGCAGCTCCCGGGAGAACTACCTGGAGGAGAACCTGCTCTACGCGCCCAGCCTGCGCTTCATCCACGGTGAGGGGGGCCCCGCGCCGGGTCTCCAGCCCCTCGCCCCTCCTGCCCGCGCTGGGCTTCAGGGGCCCCCGCCTCTGCCTCCCCAGGCCTCATCAAGCAGTTCTCCGAGAACATCTACGAGGCCTTCCTGGTGGGCAAGCCCGCGGACTGCACGCTGGCCTCGGCCCAGTGCAACGAGTACAGCGGGGAGGAAGAGCTGGTGAAGGGCGTGCTCATGGCCGGGCTCTACCCCAACCTCATCCAGGTGCTGCCTCCGGGGGCGGCTGACTGGGCCCGGCCCCTCCCCAGCCCTGGCTCCGTGCTTAGCCCAACCTCCTTTCCTGTCACCCCTGCAGGTGAGGCAGGGCAAGGTGACCCGGCAGGGCAAGTTCAAGCCCAACAGTGTCACGTACAGGACCAAATCAGGCAACATCTTGCTGCACAAATCGACCATTAACAGGTGGGGGACGGGCAAGGCTGGGCAGGGCAGCCGGGCCGGGCCAGGAGGGTGGCCTCACCCAGCTCTTCATCCCCCAGGGAGGCCACGCGGCTGCGGAGCCGATGGCTGACGTATTTCATGGCCGTCAAGTCCAACGGCAGCGTCTTCGTCCGGGACTCCTCCCAGGTGCACCCGCTGGCTGTGCTGCTGCTGACGGACGGGGACGTCCACATCCGCGGTGGGTGCCTGCAGGCCTCCCGCCCCGCCCCCTCCCTGCTCCCTGGGCCGCTCTGTCCCCGGGGCCTGGCCTCACCGGGCTCCCACCCTTGCCTTCCCCCAGACGACGGGCGCCGGGCCACCATCTCCCTGAGCGACAGCGACCTGTTGAGGTTGGAGGGCGACTCACGCACCGTGCGGCTGCTGAGGGAGCTGCGCCGGGCCCTGGGCCGCATGGTGGAGCGGAGCCTGCGCAGCGAGCTGGCCGCCCTGCCCCTGGAGGTGCAGCAGGAGCACGGGCAGCTGCTGGCCTTGCTGGCAGAGCTGCTGCGTGGGCCCTGTGGCAGCTTCGACGTGCGCAAGTCCGCTGACGACTGAGCCCCGCCTCCGCCGGGGCTGTGTACAGAGTGCAAATGTTTATTTAAAATAAAGTTCTATTTATCCCTTGTGAGCATCGCTATCCGCTGGAGGCTCCTCTCTGGGGCCTCAGCACCTGCGACAGTGGGCCCCGGGGCCCCGGACCGAGAGGGCGGAGGCGGAGGTGGAGAGGTAGGGCACAGGCCCGGCCCAAGGTTGTTGGAGGAAGCGAGTTGGAGCCCACCCTCGAGAACTTGACCGCCAGTGCTGTGACCAGCTTGCACTTTCGGGCCAGCCCGGTCTGTCACAGCCGCTCCTAGAGGGACCGTGGGAGGCCTGTCCCAGTGGTCGCTGCCCTTGCAGGTCAGGACTCAGGTGAGCAGCACCTTCTGGGGCTGTGGTCTGGTCTGGCCTGGCTGCCACCCCCCAGCCCACGTGAACGGGGGAGTTCCATGGCAGCCAGGGCCCTCTGGCAGAGGGCAGGGACACGGTGGGGCAGGTCGTGCAGCGGGCCTGCCACAAGCTGGACTGTCCCGGGTCGTATCCTCGTGTCACAGATGGGGACCGTGGCAGTTCAGACTACACAGTGCAACCACCCCTTAGTGTCGAGGATGGGGTGGGCAGCATGGTGGGGACAAACCAGGACATACAGGAGACAGGGCCTGCGTGGTGGGACATCACGAGCTTTATTTACTCTTAAAATGGTTACAACAGAATCGGACAGGTGATGGCTGAGCCATAAGCAAACTGGGCAGTACAGAAACGCCCCGCCCACCCACCCCTGCGGCTGCAGGGCCATGAACAGCGCACAGGCCTCTGCTCCTCCCGTCAGGGCAGCCCCCTCAGTTTCTGGTTTGTGGGACCGTTCACGGGAGCTGTGGCCGGGCCACCCAGAGCTCTCCGGCTTGGGTCACCTGCTCCACCTCGGCCGGCCCTTGGTGGATTAACAGAGGGCACAGGTGCCCTCGGGCCCCGCCCCCACAGCTTCCTTCTCCCCAGCGTCATCCTGCCCCTTCCTCTCACGGACAACCCCGGGCGCCCTGATCTCCCTGCCCGGTGGCCCGTTCTAGGGATGGTCTGGCTCTGGAAGCGCTTTGTCTCCAAGACCAACAGCTTCTTGGTACCCACCTGGGAGCTGGGGACGTGCCGGCAACCCTCTCCACGGCAGGTGCTGCTGCCCCAGAAATGGGAGCGCGGCCCCACCCACATGCCCGCCCCTACAGGGACACCCAATCTGAAGTTTCTCCCAGGGCCCCGCCTTCTCAGCGCGGAGGGAGGGACGGGAGCGGAGGGCGGGAGGGCGAGGCGCCCGGGCTGCACCGCGGAAAGTGCTCTTGCGGGGAGCCCTGGGACTCCCAGGCCACTTCACTACAAACGGGTAGGTTTTAATCCTTTATTAGAAACCATGCAAACTTTAATACAAAAAATACAAGTGCAGTAAGAATCTTCGTGTCAATATGATTCCCGGGATTTCTTCTCATTGCAGCCCCCGACGGCGGGCCTGGCCGGGACCCTCCGCAGGCTGGCCTCGCTCGCCTCGCCCCCTCTCCTCTCCCGTCAGGCTATCGGGGACGGGGACGGCCTCGGTCTCGTGCCTTTATTTTTAAATTTCCGGACCTGATTCCGCAATACCCACGCGAGGTCTGGACGTCTCGGGCTCCCTGGGAGCTGAGGGCTCGAGTGTCCTTGGCCTGCAGGCCTGGGGGACGTGGACCTCCCCAGCCCTAACCTCGTATCTCCCACCAGATCCCAGGAATGAGACGGACAGACAGATGCCAAAACCAGCCTCTGGGTTAGAAAAGAAAAGCAGCATACAACACGCAAAACGCCAGAACCACCAGCGCGCACTCCGCGCTGCTCCGCCTGCTCGCCGGCCACGCCCCGCACGCCCCCGCCCCGCCCCGCGCACGCCCCCGCCCCGCCAGGACCGCTCCCGGCCTCCCGGCCGGAGGCTCACGCGTCTCCCCTCCCCTTTCCTTTAACACCTACTGAAGACTTTCATTCAGACATGACTTCAACCTGCAAAACTACTCCACCAGTTTTTAGGTTATTTCTTTAAAAAGGGGATAAAACGAGAAAAAAATGACAGCAGCTAGGCAGGTATGGGACGCAGTGGGGACAGGCAGCACTGGCCCCTAACTAACTTGGGGCGGGGTAGCAAGAGGCGTCTGGCACCACCCGCATGGGGGGCACTGCTGCGGGGTCGAAGGGAGAGGCAGTGACTCAGCAAGCTCCGGGGGACACAGGGCTGGGCCACCGCGCGGACACTGCACTCTTCCCTCCAGGCGGACCGGCGAGGAGGGAGGGTTTGTCAGTTTCTCTTGGGTTTGGTCCAAAAAACCCAAACAAAGAGGACGTGGGAATCCGGTTCCTTTCTCTTAGCTCCCCCGAGGTCCCTCCCACATTAGGCTCCCGCCCCACGCCCTCCCAAGCTTCCCCCGGAGCAGTGACCATGGTGGGCCAGGAGCAGAGCAGGAGCCCGGCCTGGGGCGGGGGTGGGGGACGTGTGGGGATGGCTGCTGCCCTAGGCAGGCGAGGCGGGGGGGGGGTGGGGGGGGGGGGGGGGGGGTGGGGGGGGCGGGGGGGGGGGGGGGGGGGAGGGCCCTAGAGGGCTGCCCAGCACCCAAGGGGTCACAGGTCTAGTGGGCCGCCCGGGGGAGGGAGCCAAGGGCCCGGGTGCCTGAGCTGGGGCCACCAAGAAAGTGGGGGGGGCGGGAGACAATGTCGGCCCCGTGGTCGGTGCGGGCCCTGGCGTTTGCCCGGAACGTCAGCCTGTAGGTCTCAATCTGCAGTGACACGGGAGGAGGGGAGGGAGGGGTAACGAAGGAGACAAGAGGGGCGACAGAGGGGACGGAAGACGAGACCAGAGTGTCATCGTTAGATGCCTGGAAAAATAGAAGGTTGCTTCGTTAAAATGTAGGCCACGCTCCAGTCAAAAAACAAAGGAGTTTCGATTTGCAGCCAGTGGCAGGGACCCTGGCCGGCCCCTAGGCCAAGCCCAGCCACTTACTTGTCTCCTGGATCTGGCAGTCCAAGGTCTGGGCCTCCCTTTGGTCACCACCCCCTGCCAGGGTGGTGTGGCCATTGAGGCCACTGGCTGATGTGGGGGCGCCAGCTTCGGGCACTGCCTCGGGGATGGCCGGCTCCTCCCCAGCGGGGGGGCCCGGGCACGGAGGGGCCTCGCTGCCACCGCCCTCAGTCTACAATGAAACAGTGGGGGAGACAGTGCAGGGTCAGTCCGAGAGGGAGTGGGATGGGGTGATGGTGATGGGTCTCACACACAGCCCCCACCCCTGCTGCCCCTGCCCCTCCTAAATAAGGCGCGGTCATCCGGACACTCCAGGCCAGGCGATCCCCACCCCGCCCCACCCATGGGGGCGGCCTGGCACAGGGCGGGGGGGGGGCAGGCTCTGGGTGGGGAGCGCAGTCCCGGCCGGTGACACTCTGGAGCCCCCTCTGAGGCGCAAGGCTTTGGGAAGCCCCTGGAAGGGGGCAGGCGCCGGCTTCCCACCGAGGCCGTCGGCAGCAGGCCTGCGGAGCTGTCTCCTGACGGCCGGCTGGCCGGCCGGTCTGAGCTCTGAGCTCTGAGCTCTGAGCTCGGTTGGGAAGCAACGGTGCCGCAGGCAAGTTAGGGTTAGAAAACCAATTCCAGGAACAATAAAGAGAGGGCACTAACGTGAATTAAAAACCCCACAAGACACAGGGTCAGAAAGGCCGAGTGTGAACCCTGGTCTGCACGCACTTGCCCCGCGACCTTGGGAAAGTGGGCCGAGACAGCACCCCACAGAGACATTCCAGAGGCGGTGGGGGCGGGGTCAAGGGCGTGACAGAGCCAGGACCCCTGCATGCTCCCGGAGGCCAGCTGGGGCTGAACCGGGGCTGGAGGGTGTGGAGGGGACAAGGGACCAAAGAACCAGCTGCACTGGGCTGGCCCGGCCCGGCCGGGGCACTCAGGTGTCCAGCGGAGGGTCCTCTCTACTTGCTCTCCTGCCCCTGCAGCTACCCTCGGGCACAGAAGCCCGCCAGCGACATGGGACACAGGACAGACGGCCTCTGGGCACACAGAGGGTCTCACAGGACTGTGGAAGGAGGGAGGCAGGGAAGGCCAGAGGGAGGGCAGGGAGGGCGGGAGGGGAGGCCTGGTCGGTCTGGAGAGGGGAAGCTCCGCCCCTGAGCGTGTCCCTCCAGAGGCAGGCGCACACCTGGCCCGCTGTCACTGGTGGGGAAATGTCCCGTTCTGCTCCCGGGCCTGGAGGGGAGCCTGGCCCGCAGCACGTACCCAGTGCCCTGTCATGAGGCAGGTGGGGACAACTACCGTGCGGGCCACACCGCCTTGGGTGACCTGTGCCCCAGCCCACGGTCACTCTGAAAGTGGCCGAGATGAGCTCGGACAGTGAGAAGACCGCGGCTCTCCGAAGAGGCCCTGTCTCCAGCCGGGGTCTCTTCCCCTCTCCTGCCTCGCCCAGGACCAGGACTGACGATGGATGATGGGGGAACAGCAATGGTGTCGTGGGAACATGACTCTGAACAGACTGAGGGGCGGTGACAGCACCCACTTGGGGGGACCAGAACCCACCCGACACCCCGCCCCTCCCAGCTTCGTCCCCCTGGAGACCCACTCGCTACCTTCACGGCACCTCCCGCGGGCAGGTGGCCCACGTTATCCAGGGATCCCACCTTCGCCTGGGCCTTCTCCTTGAAGTTCAGCTTCTGACTTTCGATCTTGACGTCTCCTCCACCTAAAACCGAGATGGTGTCGTCGGCGGCAGAGCAAGAGCCCCTCGAGCAAAGCCAGGGGCCCGGAGCAGGAACCCCGCGTGGCCGGGGGGCGGCCCAGTGCCCGACGCAGAACTGGGGAGACCGGGACCGCCCCTGGGGGCTCTGAGGGTGACGAGGGGGCCGTGAGCATGCTTGTCGAAGCAGCTGCTCCTCTCCAAGTCAGGCTGAGACCATCCCTCCGTGGGGAAGGCACCCCACAGCCCTGCAGCCCACAGCCGCGCAGCCGCTGACCACGCTGGGCAGGCCCGGGGCGCAGCGCACAGCCCCCAGGCGCCTCGTCAGCTCCCGGGCCTCTGGGCACGCGGCTGCCCCCTCCGGTGGGCCGTCCGGTGCGTCTAGGCTCCTTTCAGCTGCACGAACACCCTGTCCATCAGGGACAGGGTCCTCATCCTGCGGCCGCTGGCACGGATGCGGGGCAAAGGTTACTTCCCCAAAGTCACCACCTAGCTAGTGACTGGCAGTGACAGGATGGACACGCAAGCTGTCTGTGCCGTTGACCGAATCACACTGCACTGACCAGGAGGAGGGGCGAAGGGCCCGGGGCCTGCGGGCAGAGAGGGCAGGGCCAGCACCAGGATCCAGAGCCCATTAGAGGGCAGGGGCCTGGGGGGAGGCGGTCCGAGTGCTGGCCAACGCTCGGAGCTCAGGGGCCGCAGGGTGGAGGGCCGGCCTACCCTCACACGGCCGGAGTGCGGCTCCCCTCTGAGCCTGCTTCTGCCCCTTCCGCCTGCCCTCAGCTCCCGTCACAAACCTCGACACCTGGCTTCTTGCCAATCCCCAGCACTGGCGCCTCAGCCCTGCCCCCAGCCAACTCCACCCCGGAGACCCCCAGGGCCCCCAGGGAAGGAGGTCTCTCCCAAGAACGGGTCTGCCGGGCGAAAGAGGGGCAAGGACAGCTGAGGGCCGCAGTGCTCCCACCTCTTCAAAGAGAACACATTCCAACAGGGGTGACAGTTTTGCTGGGAGGGAGAGACTTTTATTGGCCTTCACCTTAACTGGTCCCCAGTGACTGACCCCCGAGACACGCCCACCCCGAATCCCGGGCCCCCGGGCTGGGGGCTGACACCGTGCTGCTGGGGAAGCCCTTTGCTCCGGTACCTGGTACCCGAGGGTGCCCCGGGCCGTTCTCTGGAGCCCCTTCAGCTAGTGTGAGCCCCTGGGACACGCCTGCCCCCGGCCCCGGTCCGCAGCAGCACACACACAGCCTGTCCTCAGGACGAGGCCCGTGCGAACGGCAGCCTTTACCATCTGCTCCTCCTCCCGCGGAGAGCTCAGCGCCCTGAGACCCGCTCCCTGGCGGGGACTGAGGGCTGTGCTGTCCCACCGCTCCGTCCTGGGTCGGGGTGGCCCCGGAAGTTTTATGGAACGACAAAGACACAGAGGGCGAACCCCGGTGGTTGAGGGAGACACACTCACCAGGCTTGTGCTTGATGTTGGCCTTGGACCCGCACTTGGAGGAGACCTTGGAGATGTCTACCTTCTTGTTCTGAATCTGAACCTGAGGAGAAAAGGACAAGAATGTTGCTTCAGAGACACAACTTCTTTATAATGCTCGTCTCCACGTTCAAGCTTTTTCTCTCCTTGTAAGCCCTCATCTCAGCCTGTTCAAGGTCACAGTCCCCTCCTAAAGTGCTCACCAGAGCCCTGGGTCCACCCTGGCCCTGTGTGCAGCTTCTGACCGCACCTGCAGCCAGACCAAGCGGTGTTCCCGCCCCACCCCCACCCCACCCCGTCCAGGCACCCTCCAGGCAGCTCTTCTCCCACGTTTCTGGGCCCCAGGCTCCCGAAACACCCCTTCTGTCCCACCCCGAATCCCACTGGTCCACTCCCAGCGCAGAGATGAGCCGCAGTAACGTTCCGGCACATCTCCTCCCTCCCGGTTCTTCCCAGGGCATCCCCCGCACGGCTGACAGCACGGACGCCTGTCTTCCTCCAGACGCCGCGTCAGGGGACAGGGCCGGCAGACCCACTGCCGCCTGCCCTCGGGCACCTTGGGGGCAGCCTCAGTCCCAGGAGGGCGGCAGGTCTTTACCCAGGAGAGGACACCTGCAGACAGCAGCTCCCGCGCGCTCCCAGTCGGGGGCCCGCAGGATCCGGCGGCTCCAAGGCTGTGGAAGAGCCTGGCTTCCCCACGCAGTGGAGACCCCTCCTCCCCGCGTGGCCCGCAGAGCACCGCCGACAGGCACACACGAGGCGGGCTTTCGGCACAACGCCGTCTAACCGGCTCCCTGGCAGCGCCCTGTGTTCCTCCCTCCCGTGTCAGCCGGCACCGTCTCCACCCGAGGACAGACGTGGGGTCTGCTCTGCACTCGCAGGCCCACCCGCAGCCCGGGGCCGGGCCCGGCACCACCGCCCACGGTCCTCAGCTTGCCTGAGCCATCCTCTCTCCCTCTCTCTCTCTGTTTTTTTTGGTAAATCTTTTCACAGAGTTTCACTTTAGCTCAGGGGAGAAGACCTTTTCAAGTTCTGAGATGATCTCTAGTAATTTCCTTCCCCCTCATCCTGCCCCATTCCATCCTGCGCACCGGAAATGAACCTGGAAGCACCAGAGGATCCTGACCTCAGCTGTCCGGGCACTGGTGGGAGGCCGACCGCCGTGAGCGGCCGCGCTCCTGCTTCCGGAACGCGGCTCACGCTGCCCCCCAGCCAGCAAGCCCCCCGCATCCTCCGACCGTCCTCTGAGCCCGGCTCAAAGGCCGCCTTCTCCAGAGCCTTCCCCCGCTCAGCTTCCCTCCACCTCATCACCCGTGAACGGCAGCGGCAACCACTGGGCACCAAATGGCCTGGCGCATGCAACAACGCCCTTTCCTAAAAACACACGAGCGCTTCTCGAATTCGTGTCGCCCCCGTGCAGCGCCATGCCAGCCTCCTCTGTGTCGCTCCGACGCCGGAGTGCGTGTGGCCGACGCGAGCCCCCGACAGCTGCTTACACAGCACCCGCTGCCATGGAAACGACAGCCTCTGCTTTTGACTCGTCTTCCCCGCGGGCTGCCCTCCTCCCTGCACGGGAGGACGGGAAGGGCACATTTCCCGGCTGGACACGTGGCCACTGCTCTGCCCAAGCCCACGTGGCGCTGTCCCCGAGACCGCCGGCGCAGACCTCACGGCGGTCACTCGCCACAGCCAGGCTGCCGCCACGGCGCGGAGCCCACATGGTCCCCGACGGCGCTCTGCCCTCGAGGCCTCCGCTGCTTTACCCCCGCCTCCCCCCCGCCGCCTTGCCCCCAGTTAAACACCGGGTGACGAGGGGCAGGCTCACTTCACAGATGCGCTCCGGCCAGTGAACGCGGGAGGAGCGCGCCCCGGCTGAACTCGGGGCCTGGGCGCCGGGCGCCAGGAGTCCACGCGATCTCCGCGAGGGACACCACCGGAGCAGGGGGACACGCCGCGCTGCCCCACAGGAACACCTCCCTGCCTGTGAACGCCCGGTAAGAACGCGGGGAAAACCAAAGAAACCCGACGTATCAACGTAAAGAAAAAGGAGGGACAACGGAACACGTTAAGTGGGGCATTGGCTGCGGCGGCTCAGTGGATCGAGCACGGGCCTGAGAAGCAAAGGATCGCCGGTTCGGTTCTCAGTCGGGGCACATGCCTGGGTTGTGGGCCGGGTCCCTGGTGGGAGTCACACAAGCAGCAACCACACGTTGACGTTTCTCTCCCTGTCCTTCTCCTTCCCTTCCCCTCTAAAACTGACTGACTGACTGACTGACAAGAGAAACATGTTAAGTGGGGCTGCAGTCAGCAGAACCCCGACTCTGGGACAAACCCCCGGTGCCCTCACGAACGACATCACTACGAGAACAAAACCGGACAGGGGGGCTGCGGGGCAAAGGAGACCGCTGACCACAAGGCACGAGAGACACACCCACCCAACCACAGTTTGTGGCCCTCACTGCGTCCTGGCTGGAATAAGCAAACCTGTGTCACATGTTCGTGGACCTTTTAAAACATGTGCACGCGCGCACAGTGGAGAGTCCCTGTCTTTCAGAGTCACACAGTGGAGCGCCTGCAGATGAAGGATCCGTCTCGGACTGGCTCCAGAAAAATCAAGGTGAGCACGTGGTGACGAGATGGGCCACAAGTAAACAAGGCTGGGTCTTGTTTAAGGAAAAAGTCCACTTCACTGTTTTATCAACCTTCGGGTATGTTTTTGAACATGTCTGAAAAGTTTGAAAAGCTCCACTGCCTCCGACACGCGGCTCTGCCTCCCCAGGCCGGGACATGCAGGAACCCCCACCCCTCCTTTCCTCTCCTGGCTGCGGGCCCCCCCCGGCTCCAGCTCTAGGGAGCGGGTGCTGCCTCACTGGCCTAGGACGAGTGTGCCTCGTGCTGCGAGGGCCGGCCCGCAGGTGCCCTGCCCGCGAAGCCTGACAGCCGGCAGAAACCGCGTCCTGGCGGAGCCCGCGTCTACCGCACCAGCTGCAGCCGGGTCCGAGTCACCGCTGGTCTGCGACGCCCGCGGGCCTAGTGCTACTGAGGCGACCCTGCCACCAGGCCCGGGTGCCCATCACACACACACGCACCCCCTTCCGAGGGCCTCAAACTGCTGCAACTTTTAAACGTGGGATCGGCCACAAAAGTAGCTGCTAACTACTTCCTCGGGACAGGAAGTATTTAGTAGTAGTGGGACTACTTCCTAGCGACATCCTCCTGGCCCCTGACGAGGGTGTGTGTGTCTGTGGGGGGAGGCACAGTGAGGCACTAACCGGGATCCTGCTTCCGGCGCCCCGCCGCCCCCAAGGAGCTCCAGAATCTCTGCGTGGGGCAGGGCTGCGGTGGGAGACGGGCTCAGACGGGTGGCGCCAGCCACCCGCACAGCAGGCCCGCTCTCCCTGAGCCCAGCGCTTACTCGTGTGGCCTTCCAGCGCTCCGGTGCTTCGAAGGGGCGAGAGCACCTCCCCCCCTGGGGTGTTTATCCTCATCGTCCCACCTGCAAACAAGGCTCACAGGCGGGACCCGAGTGCCCTGCAGTTCACAGGAGCTCCCGAAACCGGAAGCGCTTTTACAAAGCACACCCCGCCCCCCTTGCTGATGCCCTGCTGTCTGGGCGGTGTGCAGACCACAGCGGGTGGCAGGCACACGAGGATGGCTTCCAGGGCTCTCACCTACACCACCCCACACCCACAGACGAGTTTCGGTGTGACACACCGAACCCCGAACGGGGTGTGACCACCGAACGGGGTGCTGTGTTCGGTGTAACACAGCACCCCGGTTACCCCGAACCCCTGTCTGCCTTGTGTTCAGTGGGCCGAGAGCCTGAGGAGAAGAGCGAGGGCCAGCGCCCACCCGGGCGCCCCCGAGCGGGACCTGTACTGGACACTGCCCCCACTTTGGCCAATCCCACACTGGGCTGGCTGATGGCTGGCCAACTACCATGCTGGCCGGGCATTCCCCACCTGAAGGCAAAGCCAGGGCTCCTGCCCACGCAGGGAGCCCCTGGTGAGAGGCGACTGGGAAGGAGGTATAGTGAGGGGGGCTGTGAGGCACACTACGGCCGCATTCCTCACGACGGACCTGGGGCGAGGGGTGGCAGGATGGCATGACCACCCAGCGGGCAGTGAAGGGCAGGGGCTGTGCGTGGACGGCTCCCCAAAACGCCCCTGGCCCATGCTACAGAGTCCCACGGGCCCACACAGTCACAGGGACACACGGCAAACACAGGGGATGCTCTTTACGCACCAACGGACAACGATGCCTGTCCCTGTCTCTCCCTAGACCAGGGCCGCCCTGCGCGCTGGAGCCCCCCGTGTCCCCTATGCAGGTCTCAGGGGTGGCACGGAAGAGCAGCATGACAGGAAGGGTGTCTGGACAGAGCAGGGAAAGGGACAGAAATAAGGGAGGGTAGAGGGAATGAAAGAGGGAGGGACTAGGAGAGGCCGAAGGGGGGAAGCGATGAGCGAGGAAGGGGAGGGGAAGGCTGGGAGCGGGGAGGAGGAGGAACGGTGGGGGCGAGCAGCAGGTGACCGACAAGTGGGGAGAAGCGGGGAGAAGCGGGGAGGAGGAGGGATGGTGCACTAACCCCCCAGGGGGGCTACAACCAGGAAGGGGGGCGGCCTTGGGAGAACGAGGACCCCACCGTGCTCAGAGGCGTGCAGACAGAGGCGTGGATCCCCAGGAGCACACTCGAGAGAAGCCACAGGCCCGCCGCCGACCACGGCCCTCAGACCGGGCCTCTGACCCAGCTCTGGGGGAAGCGAAGAGCCCCGCCCCCGGGGCTGGCAAGATGCCGAGCGAGCGCGCGGCCCACCCGCCGGGTCCTGTCCGCTCGGGCAGGTGGCCTCCGCCCCAGGGCGCCCCGCAGCGGGCTGGGCCCCAGACGCCAGGTGCCCGGAGCTGATACTTACATTGCCACCTCCAGGGACATGCTTAATATTGTCCTTGGAGCCGCACTTGGACTGAACGTGGCTGTAGTTCAGCTTTTTGGAGACTATCTGGACCTGGGGTGTCAGAGAACAGAAAGAACAACACAGAGGGAGAGGGCTGGTTAGAACGACACAGGGCAGGCGGTGAGTCCACACGTGACCACGACGACCAACACAGAGTGTGCCGAAGCTCCGCCCACCTCCAGCAGAACAGCTGTGGAAGCACAGGGGAAGGGATCTGAAGGAGCAGGAAGAGGGTGAAAACATGGACCAGCGACACAAGGACAGAAGCAGATGTAGTGAAGGTGCTACACGGTCGTCACCACTGCTCGTTGGCGCCTGGGCTGGGGTTCACAAGCCCGACAGCAGCCAGCCCCGGGCGCCCACCCCACCAGGGCTCTCCGGCCCCCTGCCTGCTCATCCGGACCAGCCCTCACCCAAGGGTGGCCCTTCCCTTCAATCTGGGGCCTGGGGCAGCTGCGGCCAGCCCCACTCTGGGAGGCAAAGGCTGCTGGGAGAAGCACTGGGCAGCTGGCTCACAGAGCGCAGATCCGGTACTAAGGGTAAGGAAGGGACACTGATAAACTGTAAACGCAGACACACCCTGGGCCGCTGGACCTGCCGTGCACAACCCTGGACACCAGGGGGCGCGCAGGCGGAAGCCTGGGTGGCTCCCGCGAGTAGCCCTATTCGTCCAGGGCTCCAGAGCGCAGAGCACAGTTGAGGGTTAGGTCGAGTGCCCTGACTCAAGGGTCAAACACCGTCTGGAATCCTCCAGATGCCCACGCCTGTATCCTGGGACAGTCGTGTGCCAAGAAGCCAGGCAGGGCTGCAACGATGCACGGCCCAGGGACATGGCACATGGAACCGCACTTGAACGGCACCCCCTGGAACACAGCCACACAAGGGCCCAGGCTCTAAGGACTGGAACAAAGAATTCTTCTGGGGCATTCTCAAGAGGGAACAACTGCCAGCTTCCTTCCTTCCCTTTGGAACCCTTTGCAAATGACGCAGTTCCCAAACTGAAGAGTTTTCCACGGGATATAGAAATCCGCCCTGAGAAGCTCCAACCCAAGAAGGCAACGCGCTCTTTCTTGACTTCTTCACAAACCACTCTGTAATAAGCCCTGGTCTGAAGCAAAGACCTACAGAACCTCAAGGTGTTTACCCAGGAACCGAGGTGCAGGCTTCCTCACCTCGCTGGCTGTACAAATTCCCTGGGTGAGACCCATCCTGGTTCTTAAGGGCCAGAGCTCAGGCCTCCCCGGGAGCCCTTGGCCAGAGAGACCACCTACCTGCGCAACCAAGAGAAGAAGGCCCCTGCAGCAAGCAGGAGGGCCCGGTTCCGGGGTCAGCTTACCTCTGACCCCTGGCTGATAGTGCAACCCCCCTTCCCTGTGCTGGGTGGGTTTTCACTGCAATGCGCATCCTAACTTTCTGTTAAGAGGTGACTCAGGGAGCCAGGACAAATGAAGCTACCCCCATGCCCTGCAGTGCTATGAGAGGGGCCTTCTAGTTCCCCGTAAAGTCAGAGTCAGTGGGGTCCGGGTGCCAGAGGTTACCAGTGCCATGCCTTACTGAGGGGGAACCCCGGTGCTCTGAGTGTGAGTGTGTGTGCACGCGCGCGTGTGCATAACGGGTGGGTTTCAGCTCAAGGTGCGAGAAGGAAGAAGCCACTGAAACTTTTGTATCCACTTTGTCCAGCTAAATAAACAGTCCCCAAAGGGATGACGGGCTCCCAACTGTTAACTTTCAGGATTGATAGAAAAAAATTTCCTGATGAACGAATCGTCCCGTACCAAGGAGGGCGCACAGGGAGAGAAGCGGAAACTAGTTCGAGGACAGGTGAGAAGTGCACCAGAAGGGACAGTGACTCAGGCCGGAGGGACAGTTCAGCGCCTTTCACCGTCCAGAGGTAAAAGCGGAGGCAGAACTCACTTTCCCGGCAGGCGGTCTCTGGGCACTCGCACCTGGGCCGGCGGTTTTAGTGCCCGCGTTAGGTTCGGGTTTTCGGGCTGCGGCGGCCGCCTCTGTTTTTTCCTCTACTTTGGCCTAGACGGAGATAAAGGGAGGGCACATTTCACACCGAGAGGACGAGAGCCCAGATGCCAAGAGGGGAAGAAGCCTGGGGACGCAGATCCAGGCCAGGCCGCCAGGCAGAAGCAGGTCACCCTCGCTGCTGGGAAAGGACACCCACTGCCAGGGCAGGCGCAGCCAGAGGGAGGGGCTGCAGGCCGGAGCTCGGGCCGGGCCGGGAGCAGGCACACGCGCACAGAGGAGAGGTGGCAAGGAGGGCTCAGCCCGCGAGTCTGCCGCGTGTGGGTGCGGTTCCTGTTTCCCAGTCGCAATGCCCTCCCACTCAGACGCCCCACACGCCCCACAGAAGCAGCCACGGTCACAGGGAGCCTCTACCAAAGATGGGTGTGGGCACGGAAAACGACCGCGCTGCCAGACCGAGTCACTCCACTCCCCACCATGCCCCCCTGCACTCCGCAGGCCTAGCAAGGGCACGCGGAGGGGAGACGGAGGGGAGACGGGCCGGCGGCCCCCCGGCCCCGAGGCCTGGCTGGGCACCCAGAGCCACGGTCGCTTAGGCCCTCGTCCCAGACACTCCCGTCTGCCACCAGGGTCTTCCGACTGCTTCAGGATTCTGCTTCGTCTTCCCTCTGCTTTGTAACAGCTCTGGGTTGAAGCGAGGTCATCTCCAGGGACTGGAACCGGGACTTCTACCACCACGTTTCTCATACACTATGTCCCCATGGCTGCTAACAGTTCACGAGTAACGCCAGGATGGATGCAAACAGAAAAGGCCACCGGGCCTTTCCATCACGACACTCGACAGCAGTTCAGGACAGACACAGGCCAGCACAGGACACCCTCGTCCTCTCAGGCGGACTCTCCATCCACCCGCCTCTGCGGCTGCTCACAGTGAGGGGTGAGAGCCACGACAGACCGGGTTCACGTCCACTGCATTCCCCCTCGGCAGCCCCAGAGGTCTGCTCTGCCCATTTTGTGAAGCAGAAGAACCCTTTTGCCTCCAAGCAAGAACAGAAGCCTAAACCCCTCCATACTGGACAGGGTCCCCTCTGATTCCACTGGGAGGAGAAGGCCCAGAGCTCAGCGCACACCCCCCCCGCCCCCACCCCCTCCTGGCTGCCGGGACGCACAGCCCCGGCTGACCCTCCCTGATGCCAAGTTCACGTCCCAGCTGCCCCCTCCGGTGCGCCCTGGGCTGATGCGAGGAGAGGCTGCAGGAACGGTGGTGGATGTGGCAGGGAAAGAAGCGGGGACCGGCAAGCGGAGGACCCCACGCTCCCCGGACCCACCCGGCCTCCTCCAGGCTGATGCTTGATGTTTTCCGTGGAGCCGACCTTGGCGCGAACATTCCTCAGGTCAGGGGCAGAGGCGTTGGTCGCCGGGCGGCTCAGCCTGGGGGCGGAGGAGCTGGGCCTGACTGACGTGGGCTTCTTGTCTGCAGCAAGAGTCCCGGCGGGCCGGGGGGGCGCGGGTGTGGACTTGACTCGACTGGGGGCCACGCCTGCTGGGGAAGTTGCCCCAGGGGCAGCGGTGGTTTTCTTCACCGTGCTGCCGGAGGTGGTCTTCGGGCGGCTCACGTCAGCTGTGAAGGCAGGAGTGAGAGACACGAGTGTTCGGGGGGCGAGAGCAAATGGGGGGAGCCTTCGAGTCATGGAAGAGGTGGGGTTTAGATAGGGTTCCACAAAGGGGGGATGGGTGTTACCTGGTGCAGACTTCGTAACTGTCTTCTTGATGTCTGCAGGCTTTCCCTCAGTCTTGATGCCTGAACAAACACACACTTTTTAATGCAACGTTTAACAAACCGACCAACTGATCGGCTCACACAGCCCTGAGATTCCTGCATTCACTCAGCCATTACCGAGTGGCCCATCTGAGCCAGGGGCCGCGCTGGTCTCTAAGGACAAAGCAGAGCGTTATGCGGCCGTGTAAAGACCACACCCTATGCAGGGCGCCAGGCCGGGCACTGCATCTTCTGTTCCAGCCTGGACAACGCCTTCCGAGCAGCCTTAGAAACAGGTGATCAGTACACGCCCGTGGCACTGAACGGCCCGCTTCTTATCATGTAAGAGGCCCGTCATGTAAGAGGCCTGCACTGTGCTAGGAGCCATGGAGACACCAAGAAAGAAAGGGTAAATTCTGTCTGGGAATTCCTGCGAGTTGCCTCTACTCAAGGTTTTCCTGAACACACTTACCGGCTAACCCCACACAGAGACCACGGCTGCCACCTCCCGACACCCCCCATAAGGACCGATGCACACACGGGTCTGTGCAGCCTGATGTGGCACCGGCCAGAGCTGCGGCTGGGGCCAAGTCAAGGCGACATACTCACCAGCTGGCTTCTTGGGTAGGGGCATGGGAGAGCCTCTACTGCTGGGCCCCGTTGGGGTAACAGAGGCAGCTGCTGGGGCTTTTGGAGCAGTCTGGGTGCTCTTGAAGCCAGGCCTGGCGGCCGGGGCAGAGGTCGGCTTGGATGGCGTGGCCGGCTTGGATGGCGTGGCCTTCTTCTCGGGAATCTTTGCCTCCGCTGCAGGCTGGTAACAGGAAAGTGGGAGTGAGAGCTGCAGCCGGCCCCAGCCCAGAGGCCACGCCCAGGATGTGTCCATGGGCGCACACACCAGAGAACAGGGTGCTCTGGGGCTGGCAGCTACTGGTGGGAAAACACGTGCGGCCCTGGGGTCAAAGCCCTCCAGAGGACGTGAGAAGCTGGCCCTGTAGGGCGCCGTGGGACCGGGGAGCCAACAACCTCAAGCCGGCCTGAACTACCGAGAATGAAGGGCCTGCAAAGTTCACCTGACCATCCAGGTGTCCTGGGCTCTCTCCGCTGCACTGAATACCGCTGCGTTTCGTGTATTAAATACATGGCCAGAGATGAACACACACGTGAACAGAACAGATATTAAAAACCACGTCCGGTCAAACCCAGCCCTCCCTGGGCTGAGGCGCACCCAGCAGGCGAACAGGCCAGCCTGCGAACGGGGAGAACGCCAGCCCCGTCCGGCCCCAGACTCACAGGGTTCTCGGGCAAATCGCCGACCTCCGGGGCTTCGGCTCCTCACCCGCGTAAAGGAGGTGGGGTCTCGGGATCTCTAAGGCAGCTCTGATAACACGGGACACGTCAGGGACCGGAGGGCGACAGGCCTCTGAGAGCAGAGACGTCGGGGAGGGGCAGGCAGGGGGCGCAGGCCTGACCAACAGAGGGGCCGCCGAGAGGCAGAGACGCTACAGCTGTGACCAAAAGCGAAGAGAAGCCCCTCAAGTGCGGAGGCACCTGGGTCACCGTGCCACGCGGCCTGGGCATGCTGTCACTAGCAAGGGAGCGAAGGAATTGATTCAGCCTGATTTCTACAGAAAGGGGGATGAACAGACCCTTCTGATAAGCAAACATACCACATTACTCAAGAGAGTAGGCCAAGCCACAGACACAGTGGATCCGGACCTTTAACTCCAGGAGAAATGGCCACTCGAAGAGCAGGATGTTGGTGGAGATATACAGGATATTGCGTAAATGGAAGATCAGCTAAGGAGGTGTGCAGAAACTCAGGCCTGGCATCCAATGAAATAAAACCCAACTCTGCAAATGCAGGGTAATATCCATTTCTAAAAATGAAGTCCTGCCCTGGCAGGTGTGGCTCAGTGGACTGAACGCCAGCTTGTGAACCACAGGGTGGCCGGTTCAATTCCCAGTCAGGGAACATGCCTGGAGTGCAGGCCAGGTCCCCAGTAGGGGGTGCACGAGAGGCAACCACACACTGATGTTTCTTTCCCTCTCTTTCTCCCTCCTTCCCCTCTAAAAATGGATAAATAAAATCTTCAAAAATAAAAATAAAAACAAAAACAAAGTCCCTAAGCAGTACGAAGAAACTCGAGGCTGGAATCAGAGGAACGGGTTCAGCTACCAGCTCTGCCCAGAACATGTCCCAGGAGCCTGTGCCGAGGGCGCCCTCCCTGTTTGCCCCAGAACTGGGGGACGAACCAGACGCACCCTGAGGGCTCCTTCACAGTCACCCAAGTGGGACCGCGATTCAGAAGAACCGAGTGGGGCCCCATCTGCTTCTTATCTAAAAGGACAAGAACAATAACCACTGCCATGCAGGTCACCTCTTCGGGTCAGCTGCGGCCTGAATGCTGTTTACAAACTGGATGGCAGAAAGCCACGCAACAACAGTGCTGACCGAGGGCCTGAGCACCAGCATTGTTGGCATTGGACCCAAGTTCAAATACTGCCTCTGCCACTTACGAGCACTGAACTTTGGGACGGTTATATAACTGAGCTGCACAATGAAGAGACTGGTACTCATTTTTATTTACATTATAGACTGAAGTTTCACTGGAGACCCTTCCTCCCTGCACCTCCCTGTCTCCCCCAGGACTGGCTGCAGAGTCAGCGTCCCGGGGTGGCTGTGCCGTGGCCGCAGGCACCTTCCCTCCACCCTCCTATGTCTCAGAACCTGTGTTCTAAAAGCCAAGAGAAGCAATCAACTGGACAAAGGAGGGTCAGAAAGCTCCACAAGATCCCATCATTCCTAGTCCACGAAAGGATTTCAACCTAGATTACAATCCCCAGGTTCCACCAGTTTTCTTTACAAGATTAGATTAAAACACGTGACATTTTAACATGGAAACAATTTCACAACATGAACGCCAAGAAGACACGACGCTGACGTAAGGGCCCTTCTCGGGTCAAGCGAGATGTTAGGGCAGGCACGGACTCCCCCCGCCCTCTCCTCCTGGGATCACCCCAGGAAGCTGATGCTACTCCAAAGCGACCGTTTTCTGGGCAACGACATGTGGGTGACCCGGAAAACCGAAGAACTTCGGAAGCAGTTCAGTGAGAGGTGGCCAGTGCCAAAAGCAAAGCAAATCATCACATGCGGCGGGGCTGGGCCAGGACAAGAGCTTATCACAAAAGCAATGGGTGGAATTCACGTTTGCAGAATGATTGACGAGGACAAAGAAGGGAATCCGGGAATGCGATGTGGGAATCCCAGCAAAAACGACCATCTATTTAATTAGTGTGCGGAGACTGGGAAACCGGTCAGCAGGTGTGTCAGTCAATAGGCGAAGAGCCAGGAGAGCCGGGAGGAGGGGAGAAACCAAAGCAGATGCAGTATTGCCTCCAGGCACGGCAGGCGAAGGTCAAAAGCACAAAAGGCCCTCGAGTGGTACGGCTGCGCCACGGGCCCCCAAACGGAGTGTCAGGTCACCTTTCCCTGGCCGGTCCCCGGTCCCACCAGCCCGATTCCATCGTCTGGAGCAACGAGAGCCCGTCTGTCTGACACGCGGAGGGGAAACCTTGCCCTGCACAGAGCCCTGGGGACCACTCACCTTGGGCTTCGCGTCTTTTGAAGGAGAGATGGAGGGCCTGGCAGTGGCGGCGGCAGGGCGTTTGGGCGGGGCGGCCGGCACTGAGCCTGCAGCCAGGCTCATGGGTTTTTTAGTCGGCCCACCGAGGGTGGTGGGGGCTGGCTGCTTAGGGACAGGAGTGGGCTGGGTTTTGGCTTTCGATGTTGAAGTCTTTGCAGGCTGAGTTGTGGCCAAAGGCTTTAAGTTGATTTGTTGTTTTGTTTTTTTTTTAAAAGGCCAACATCAAACACACAGACAAAAATAAAAACAAAATTAAAAAAAGCATAAATTGCACAATTCAAAGCAAAACGATAGGCAATGGAGAGCGATGCAACTGAAAACCAGCACTCCTTTTTTCTGAGCTCCGGGGAGGGGAGAAAGGCGCCAGGACGGAGGAGAAGAAAATTGGGGACTGGGTCTCCGTGACGGTGCCACACGCTCCAGCAGTGTGACCCTGAAAATTCAAACCCAGCAAGGGCTTCCAATAATTAATTAACTTTAATTAACTTTTGATGGCTGTAATAATTCTATGACTAAGCTGCTGGCGGGTGATGCCAGCAGGTGCTGCCGCCTGCGACTCAGTGGGGCGACACCGGCAGGCTGTTTGGCGGCCAGGCTAAAATAAAATGTGCCACTTGAACTTTGCCACGAGTATCAGCAAGTGCCTGAAGCTATGTAAAAATGCATCCCCTCATGTGAATGCTGATTTCAGAATCGATTTCAAAAGAGTTCTGTAATTCCTTCTGCTCTCATCAAGAAGCAGAAACTGCCGCTACAGAACATTCCTACAGATAGTCAAGATAGCAGGGGCAAAGGCAGAGTATTAAGGTTTGAATCAGGCCGTTTTGGTCAAATGGGAATAGAAAATATTTTTAAAGCACACCCAAACTTGCGAAAGAACTGGTAACAACTCAGAAAAAAAGACATTTCATTCACAATTCAAGCAGTAATAGCTGAAGATACTATTAAAAAAAAATGCAGTGGTAAAAGATAACCCACCATTCTGGCAACTACCTTTGTTTTCTTCTCTGGGCTTGGTGGGAGCTCCTTGTTTGGAGGGGCGGTGATGTCATTTCCGGTCACACTCACGGTCGGCTGCCCTTCTTCTGGCTTGGATACTCCTAAAGGGTGGAAGTAAAGGCTAAGCAGAGGTTTTTCACATCCATTCCCCAAGCCGAGTCTTAGCAGAGACAGACAACCAGGCAGCACTTTATTCTGAAAAAAAAAAAAAACCCCACACGGCTGAGCCACACCGCTGCAAACCGGACAAGACTCCCAAGTCCCCCTCTTTGTGACGGAGGACAGTTTTAGATTCCAGAGATTCAGGCAGCCTGTCCCGGTGGAGAAGCAACCTAAGCGGGGTTCGCGCAGATGATCGGGGGGAGGAAACGGCCCCTCCAGTTCGGTTTCCCTTCCCTGGAGACGGGCAGGCAAAGGGTTCTCTCACCCAACCGCTCACTCCCCGAGCACACTGGGGACAAGAGCCTCTTCTACTAGGGTTTATCTCTTGGAGTAAAGGTTGCGGAGAGATGGGAGAGGTGCCAGAAGATCACCCAATGTCCTCCTCTTACTTCCTTTCCCTGTGTAAAGCACCACTTTAGGGAGGATGTGAGATTAACTCGATCTAATTCCAGCAGTGACCCAGATTTCCAACAAGGCTGAGGAGACCCGGGAAATCAGACCCGGAGCCAGAAATAAAGCCTACTGCCTGAGGCTATGCCCAGCAGAACCATTTTGAGGGCGGTTACTCCAGATTTCAATGGGCTATACCTGAAATCATTAAAATACTATTACATTTTTAGCCAGGGCATAGGCAAAACCTTTCCTAACTGGCACAATATCCAGAAGCCACAAACACTTTATAGAGAAAGAAAAACCTTCAATGTGGCCAAAATAACAAAGATTCAAAAGGCAAGTGATAAACACGAAAAAATATCTGAACCTCACATCAACGACAAAGAATCTACTGCATAAATTACTCCTATAAATCAGTAACTCCTATAACAGCCAACAACCCAGTAAAAATTTGGCCAGAAGAATAGAAACAAGGTTTACAGAAATACCAATCACTTTTGAAAAGAAGACGTCCAAACGTTAAGAAAAGTAAGAATTAAAGCCATACGGAGATGCTACTTTTCACCTAACACACTGTCAAGTTCCCAGATCCAAAAGGAACCGCCGGAGGCTGCACGCCCCTGGCGAGGGCGCCTAGACGGCACAGCGCGCGTGCAGCCAAGTCCTGCCGTGTCCCCGAAAATTGCAAGTGTGGGTAACTCTGATCCCGAAATCCGATTCCTAGAAGTTTATCTCAGAGACACATTCGCACACCTGCAGAAGAGCAGACTCCACAGTCTGGTCAGGGCCTCGTTCTCAAAAGCAAAGGACTGAAACAGTGCAGACGTCCCCTAGTAGGAGACTGGTCGTGAGAACGTAACCTCTGAATGTGAAAAAGTAAAGCACCAAAACGTTATTTCATGACTGATGTGGAAGAATGTCTGAATGAAGAAGAAAAAAGCAAGGCGCAGAACAGTATGTAAAACATAAAGCCACCTGTCTAGAAAAGAGATGAGGGAAATACATTTTTATTGCAAATACACCTGTACAAGCATTTAAAAAAATCTTCGGAAGAATCACGATAAAACAAAACAATGGTGGCTTCATTCGAAGGGAGGGGGCATGAAACTAGGGATGGCAGGAGACTTTACTTTGAGAACTGGTTGTTTTAGAATAATCACAGACCCGCAGGGAGTTGCAGGGAATGCACAGGGAGGCCGCGTGGGCCCTGCAGCAGCCTCCCCCGGGGCCGACGCCCCGGGTAACAGCGGTCCACCGTCAAACCCAGGGAGCTGGTCCTGCTGCAACCCACAGAGCTTATTCAGGTTTTTCACCTTACATGGATTCATCCGTGTGTGCGTGCACACCTGCGCACATCTGCGGTTCTGGGCAATTTTATCGATTTTATGTAACCATTCCCAACAAGCAAGACACACATCCATCCCAACGCCACAGGGCTTCCTCACGTTTCCTTGTTCGCCACCCTCTTCCCAATCCCTAAATTCCTGGCAACTTCTGTTCTCCATCTCTACAGTATCGCTTCAAGAATATCAGACCAACGGCCTCACGGTGCGCTACCTCTCACGTCTGGCTTCTCCCTCCCGGCATCATACTCACGGGATGCGTCACGTTACAGGTATTTTGAGTTAGTTCCTTTTTCTTGCTGAGTAAGGTTCCAAGGTATGACTGTACCAGCCATCCCCTGGAGGACATTTTGCTTGTTTCCCCTTGCTGGCTCTGTTATTTGGTACATCTGCATTTAGGATGCTATGTCATCTGGGTGGATTGATCCTTTACTCTTTGCTGTGAAATCTACTTTATCTGATATTAATATAGCCAGCCACTGTTTAAAAATATTAATGTTAGCATATGTTTTTTCTCTTTTTATTTTTAACTTACCTATGCCCTTATGTTTAACATACATTTCTTTTTTTTTTTTTAAGATTTTATTTATTTATTTTAGACAAAGGGGTAGAGAGGGAGAAAGAGAGGGAGAAAAACATGGATCGGCTGCCTCCCAGACACCCCCACACACATCGATGTTTCTCTTCTTCTTTCTCCCTCTCTTTAAAATAAGTAAATGAAGTCTTTTTTATTTTTTGAAGATTTTATTTTTTAGCCAGAGGGGAAGGGAGGGAGGGAGAAAGAGAGGGAGAGAAACATCAATGTGTGGCCACCTCTCGCACTGCCCCCACCGGGGACCTGACCTGGCCCACAACCCAGGCTTGTGCCCTCACCGGGAATTGAACCTGTGACTCCCTGGTCTGCAGGCCAGTGCTCAACCCCCTAAGCCATACCAGCCAGGGCACATTTCTTAAAGATAGCATATAGTTGGGTAATTTTTTAAAACTCCACTCTTAGAATCCGTCATTACTTGTATTATTTAGACTACTTGCATTTAAAGTAATTATTGACATGTTAGGGTTCTGTCTGCCATTTTCCTTGTTGTTGTTTGTTTGTTTGTTTGTTTTCTGCTTCTCCTGCTGTCCCGTGGGTCACCTGACCTTTCAGAACCTGGTTCTGACGTTCTTGTGCACGTCGCCCCGTGCAGCTCCCCGGGCGGCCGCTGTAGTGCTACCGCACGCATGCGGCCTCCCGCCGTCAACGCCCCACCACGGCCAGTGATCCCTGAAACGTGCTTCCATGGAGGGTCTTTGGCCGTCCCCACTTTAAAACTACAATGTCTTAAGTGTTTCCTTTTCTGCTATATTTACACCTACATTTACCAATTCCATTGTTCTTTCATTCCTGAAATTCCAAGCCTTCATCAGCTATCGTAACTTATCTTTTTGGAGAGCTTCCTTTAGCCATTCTCTAAGGGTTGTCTACTAGCAACACACACTCTTAGTTTTCCTCTATCTAAGAATGTCCTTGTCTTCCTTCCCTGTATTCCCGAGGGGTAGTTTTACCAGATACAGAATTTGTCCCTGGCTGCTCTCTCCTTCTAGCCCCTTGGACACGCGCTGCTGCCGCCTCCGCCGGCCAGGATTTCCGACAAGACACACTGTGACTGGCACTGCTGTTGCCCAGTGCATACTCTCCACCGGGTGTTTTTAAGGTTTTAAAGCTTCTTAGTTCACAAGCTTATTGATAAAATGTCTTGGTATAGATTTCCGTGGGCTCTCTCATTTGGCGTTTGTTCATTTTCTTGAATTGGTTATGTCCTTTGACAAATTTGGGAAGTGTTCAGTCATGATTTCTTTAAATAGTTGTTCAGCCTCGTAGCCTGGGGTTTCACTTGCTGGGATTCTGAGGATACAAATGTTAGGTCTTTTGTCCTTGTCCCAAAGGTCTCGGAGGAACAGTCGTTTCTTTAGTCTATTTGCTCTCTCTTGTTCAGACTGAATACATTCTACTTCTGTCCTCAGGTTCACGGACTCTGTTCTCTAACGTCTCCAGTCTGCTACTGCGTCCATCAGGCACGTTTTTAATTCTGATTATCGTATTTTTCCTATTTATAACTTCCATTTGGTACTTTTAAATAACATTTAATTGCTGAGGTTTTCTAGCTTCTCATTGGTTTCACGAAAATGCATAACTGCTTGTGGAAGCAATGCTATGATGGTGTTTTAAACCCAGCTTTGTACTTCAGCAGGTGATCACTGTTCGCACTTAGCGAGCAGGTTCTGGCTACAGTTGCGACAGTTTCGTTTCCAGAGCCCATGCAGTGTAATTCTGCCTCCCGTGTTCCGGCTCCAGGAAGTTCTCACTCAGTCCTTGTCGCTCCGGCCTGCAAGGGCTCAAGGCGCTTCGCTGGGCCACGTGGCTTCACTAGGTGGGAGTTACGTGATGCCAGACATGTGGAAGGCCGCATTTTTCCTGGCCTGTTCTCCGGCCCCCAGCGCTGGCAGACTTCCTGTGAGATCTCTGCTGGCGCTGTGGGAGTGGGAAGCCACCACCTGGCCTTCAGCTGCTGGAGGGAAGGGTGAAGGAAGAAACTTCGGTCTCTTTTGGTCCTGGGGTACAGGCCTGGAGTACCCCAGGCCTACAGGTGCTACTGGGAGCAGAAGGACCTCCTGTGACTGCCTTCTGCTGCTGGAGGGAAGGAAACCCACCCAGGTCTCCTTCCACTGGTAGGAAGAAGGCCGGAAGACAGCAGGCCCAGAGGAGGCGCTGGTGCTGTCGTCTGATAAGGGCTAGGGAAGGGGCCTCCCTGCCGGTGTGCAGGGATCACACCACGGTGCTGCCAGGGGGCCAGGCCTGTGCTGCTGCCGGACGTGGAATGAACACTTGGGAGGCCCGGAGGCCCCGGTGAACTCTGCGGACACTGTGTCTGCAGGGGGCCTGCACCCACTGCTGCTGCTGGGTATGAACAGAGCAATGCGTCTATTGCTGCATCTTTTACAGGGCTTTCCCTTTCCTGATCTTTTGGAAAGAAAGTGCAGAATTTTTTCTTTTTTAAAAAGGTTTTACTTATTTTTAGAGAGAGGAAGGGAAGGAGGGAGAGAAACATCTATGTGTGGTTGCCTCTTGAGCGCCCCCTACTGGGGACCTGACCAGCAACCCAGACACGTGCCCTGACTGGGAATGGAACCGGTGACCCTTTGGATTGCAGGTCAGCACTCAA